GGGGGGAGCGGTCGCCCCGGCGCTGCAGCCGCAGTCCCACGGTGTGGTGGCCCATGGTCTGCAGCAGCTGGGCCACCTCCCCTGACTGCAGGTTGTCGAAGTAGACGGTGGCGCTCACGATCTGATCCCCTGCGGGCACGGGGAGGGTCAGGAGGGGAGAGAGGGAGGGAGGGAGGGAGGGAGGAGACCCCTCATCCCCACCGGGAGTGGCCGTGGGGTCAGCGCCCAGGAGGGTGGAGGAGGAAGCACCTGAGGTGCCACCAGGATGGGTCAACAACCCCAAAGACCCCATTTTTAACCCCAAAACCCTCAGGGAGGAGCCCCCTTGTCCCCATTGGGAGTCACCATGGGGTCAGTGCCCATGAGGGCGGAGGAGGAAGCGCCTGAGGTGCCACCAGGATGGATCAACAACCCCAAAGACCCCATTTTTAATCCAAAAACCCTCAGGGAGGAGCCCCCTCATCCCCACCGGGGGTGGTGCTTGAGGTGCCACCAGGATGGATCAAACAGCCCCAAAATATCCCGTTTTTTCCCCCCAGAACTCCCCTGGCACGGTGCCACCATCCCGGTCCCCACCCTGTGGAGATGTAGATGAGAGATTTTGGAGGGGAAGAGGGAGGGAGGAGCCCTCTTGTCCCCCCCCCCCGAGAGTGGCTGTGGGGTCAGCGCCCAGGAGGTGGAGGAGGAAAAACCCAAGGTGCCACCAGGATGAGTCAACAACCCCAAAGATCCTGTTTTTCACCTCAAAACCCTCAGGGAGGAGCCCCTGACCCCACCACGAGTGACAGTGGGGTCATCACCCACAAGGACAGAAGAGGAACCACCCAAGGTGCCACCAGGACGGGCCAAATAACCCCAAAGCCCCCGTTTTTCCCCCCAAAACCCTCGTGGAGGAGCCCCTGCGCCACCAGGAGGGATCAAACAGCCCCAAACCCCTCAGTTTGTCCCCCCCAGACCTCCCCCCGGGTCCCACCTTCCTTGACGACGCCCATGCGGGCGGCGGGGGAGTTCTGCTGGACGCGCTTGACGAAGACGCCGTCGTCGGTCTGGTCGATGGTGATGCCGTGGGAGCCGCTGCCCTGCCAGTTGGGCAGCAGGATCTCCCGCGTCTCCTCCTCCTTCTCCATCTGCAGGCGGCATCAGGGATGGGGTGAGGGGCAGGGACACCACAGAGGGGTCAGGGAGGAGGAGGAGGAGGGAGAGCCCCGGGAATGGCCCCACTGACCTTGTCGGGAGGAAGGTCCCGCCCGGATCCGCCCCAGGAATCCTCTGCCCTCGCCCCGTCGGACCTCGCGGCGGTTCCTGTGTCACCTTCCCAGCCTGGAGGGGACAGCAGGGGGGTCGTGAAGCTCCAGCTCTTCCCCCCAGGATCCCTCTTCCTTCCCCCAAAACCTCCGGATGGGACGGATCCGGCTCCGGCTCCGCGGTGTGAGCCGGGAGCTCCGGGGACAAGGACTCGCTGTCCCCATGTCCCCCTGCCCTGAAGGTCCTTCTGGACCAGCTCGGCCCCAGGAGCAGCTTCACCTGCCCGGGAATCCACGTTTCTGCTGGTTTGTGGGAATTAAAGGAATTCCAGGGCTGGGCAGTTGGGAAGGAAGGACAGAGCGGGGCTGGCGTTGGAATATCAACTGTCCCGTCACCTGGGGCTGGCGTTGGAATGTCACCTGTCCCCTGTCACCTGCGTCACCTCGGGCGCTGAACCCCCCCCCCAGGGTCAGCTCCTCGGGCACCTATGGATGTTTTGAGGGGATTTCTCTTTTTTAGGGAATTTCGGGCTGGGATGAGACAGAAATCAGGATGAAACCCTTCTCCCGTTGCAGTCACAAAGGGAAAGGGCGGGATGAATCCAATCCTTGAGGATCCAGGACTTGGGAATGTGGGGCAGGCCCTGCCCCAGGAGGTCACTGGGAAAACCCACCTTGTTCCAGTCCCGGTTCCTCAATCCCACCGGGAATTTAGGGAGAGGTTTGGGATCTCTGCCTGGTTTGGGGTTGGAGCCGTCGCTGCCCAGGTCTCGCCGGGACCCCCCAAAACCACCTCCCAGATTGTCCCATTCCCACCAGTCCCAAAGGGGATTTAGGGGGAATTTTGGGAAGGGGGGGGAGGGTTGTTGTTATTTCCCCGCCCCCAAACAACCCCCAAACCACCCAGGGGGTGTTTTCCAACTCCACAAACCGGGAAAGGTGGGATGGGACCCCTGG